TCAAGCAGGCAATTGAGAGTGATTTTGTTGCAGCGTGATACTGACTGCATAGCTTCCTTCACCTTTTGATAACCAATATCAACAAGAAAGTGTCAACACCCCAGCAATTGAATATGACTTCTAATGCGCAGACCCTGTTCCTCTTGAAATTGAAGCCAGCAGTCAATAGGTCCTTTTTGGGTGAATCCCCTCTGTTTGTCACCACCCACTCCGATGACCCTCCGCTCCCCCTGGGCCCCTCCTCCTTGTAGCGAATCTGGAAGAAGGTCAGGAAACCTGGGCTAAATGTGGCCGGCTGAAGCTCGCGCTTAACGGGATGCCCGGCTGATTTTCCAGCAAATGTGGCAATGTAATGCTGATTGCTGGCTATGTTCACTATGTTAACTGGCTACAATTATCGCAAAGGCTACCAAACTAAGCTGAAAAATGAAGAAGTCAATGCGACAGTCATGGACAGTTGCGTTGTTTTCCTTCCGTCCCCCCAAAAACAACAGTTTCTTGTCACAAACAAATAAAAGATGAATACATATGAGTATTGATTTGCAAGTACATTCTATGTCCGCAAACATTGCACAGGCTCACTGGGTGATAGAAACCAAATAACGCGGCAAATTCAATACTACATTTCAATATATTTTAAGTATCCAATTTCACCATGTTTCTTTCGCAAGGCTGTTGAAACATGGAGTGTATGATTGGGTTTAACCATATAAATAGGAACCCATCATATACCTAGGCTTACATATAATATATTTATAAACAAATCATTGTGGTTTTCACCCTATGCACTATGACACCTATCATACAAAGCCTAAAAGGTTAATTATAATGACCTCAAAGCCAGGGTGAAGCGTTTGAGCTACATGATGTTCCCATGAACTTCCCGTCATATGCCCATGTTTTTTTGATAACTCCCCCTAGCTGTTAATGCGAAACCATCCGAAACCCGGTTTTAAATCCCATTATATAATGTCTTGGTTGAATTCTTTAGTATTTTATACTAGGATATAACATGGATAAAGCCCGCAAAATCCAATTCAATCACCATAAAATCCCATCATATCCCATCGCCACGCCATGCCAAGCCGCTGAAGGAGGGTTTTCGGGTCTCCAGTTTCCAGGACACGCGAGCGACATGGCGAAGCTCGTAGATCACTTGCTCCTCCTGGTGGGCAACAGCCATGGTAGGGCGTACTGTAAGTATATATACATATTATATATATATGGCTGAAGTACATAAAAGTGTATATATATATATATATCATCTAGAGGGACATGATGCTATATTATATTTTGTTACATTACATTTCATTTCATTGCATTATATTACATAACATTACATTATGTTATATTACATTACATTACAATATATTGTCTCATGTTATATTATATTATACTATATATATATCATATTATATTATATTATATTATATTTTATTTTATTATATTTTATTATTTGCCCTTGAATTGTCCCTTTCACTGTTTTGGTTCCAAGAAACAACACCGGTTGAACCTCTTCCTATTTGATGGGACATAATTCCAGTCGCTGATGATGGGCCCCTCATCACCGACCCATTGGGGGTCCACTACTGGATTTCCATTGTGGATGGTACCAATCCCCAACAAAACCAAGGATAACCTATCTGCATTGATAAATCAACAGCCGGTTGGGCAACCGCTCACTTTGATTAGTCTGGATCACATTTGTTTCGTTAGTGGAACCTACTCAAATGACCTGGATGTCTAATCTATCCTAGTTCTCTGACTTAAGAAGAGTGCTGAATGCAACAATTTTGCTCCTGAGAATCATCATCTTGACTGCCCTGTGGTCAGTTGGGTAACTGGAAATGCTACATTTTGAAGTTGAAGTATCCACATAGCCCCGTGGGTCCAATTTACGATGTCTCTCCACACGGAGCCGATCCTCCAGAACAGGAACCTGGGCGGCAGAAACGGGTACAGTTTAAGTGTCGCTCAACAAGACATGTTTCCAACTTCGAGAGAATCGGAAAAACTGAAGGATGCCAAACATATCTCGCTTCTCTCACGTATATTACATATATAATCAAATATAATTAATTATATATGCACATATTGGTTTTCCCTGAGATTGTGAGTTTGCTGCCGCTATCATGCATCTGGTGGCCTGGCGAATACCCCTCGGAACGATATGATAGGTTCATATGTGCCACCATGCAACTGGCTGTATCGATGTATATTGGTATATATTGGTTATGGTCATCCCATCATCATTAGGGTTTCTTAACAATTGGGTTAGTTGATTTTCATGATTTTACCATTATAGTTGATTCTCCCATTAAAACTGGTGCTTTTCCATATAGTTATGTAAATGTTTTCCAGAGGATAATCCCTACTTTTGGGGGACCATCCCGCACGATATGTGGTATAATCCAACCCATGACCACGGCTGTGGCATGGATCATCCCAGGTTTGATGGCAGAGGCAACAACAGGTTCGAAGCATCTCAGCGGTCGCTAAAAGCAGGGGGTGATGAAACCTTCCAAATCCAAGAGCTACATAATAAGCAACTAATTAAATGCAACTATATCAATATCTATATGTATATATATATATCAATATCTATATGTATATATATATATATATCTATCTATATGTATATATATCTATATATCTATATATATATGATTATAAATGTGTTTTTTTAATAGCTGATATCCTTCAAATCCAATCCCGAGATACTCTCCGCCACACCTACTTCACATGTCCAAGTCACCTCCTCATCGATCTGGTCGCGCCTTCCACGGAGGTTACCTCGGCTGCTGCGGTTGCGGGGTGTGCTTGGCTGCTGCTGTTGACATGTGAGCAGCTTTCAAAACCCGGGAACAATGGGGATTTTGATGGGGATACCTGGATACCAGTATGGAATATGGAAGGAAAGAAAACCAAGAAAATGGAGGATATTTCATGATACGTCTGGGTTTACCCAACCTGTCATTCCAATTACTCCTGGTTGGTTCAGAAGCATGATAATTGATAATCCCCAAGGCCCCAATGTGTATTGGCTAGTATAAGCCCCTATAATAATCATCAACCAATAGGGGTTCTGAACACTGCTTATGTGAGTAGTGCCTAAAGTATTAAAGCAATCAGTCAGCAATTATATATGTACATTAACTACGTAGTCATGTGCCCAAAACCTTCCACAAAAAAGAGTTTTGGGCATTGCTTATGTTTTGAGCCTTGAGAACGTGGTGCTTCTTGTTTCAATCATGCGGGCCATTTTCCAAGGAAATCTCCGTTCTAGGGAGTGTGTATTGAGGCATGTAGACAACCATCTGATCATATCCAAATGTGCCAAAACCTTGGTGGTCACATCTCGGTTCCAGCGGGGTGCATTGCTGAATATTTTTCACTATGGGAACTCTCCCATACTCTCCCACTAGCTTGGTACCTAAGCTCTTCATCTCCGCCGATTTTGAGGATCGCAAAGATTGAAGGTACAAAACATCAAAACCATGACCTTTCGGCTCTCAGGCTACAACCACTTTGATGTTATTTAATACCTTTACCTCCAAAAAATGAAGTTATTGCAGGTAGCTCCAAAAGAATGCCCCACGGGCGCCGCACTGGAACTGCAATTCACCACCAGGTGTTCAACCTGCGCCGCAGCTTCTGATCAGGTCCGGTGAGGTGTGGCCCTGGGAAAACGGGTCCATTTCTGGTTCGATTTGGGGATGTCTCAAGATCATTGGCACACAACATGGATTCAGAATGACTACAATCGCCATCTGTGAATTCATCCTACCATCTGTAAGATCCCATCTCCACATGTTTTGGTTTCAATGCCCAGTTTGTGTTGTAAAATAGGTATTTTTTTGGGCTGACAATCGCCATCTCAGTGGGAGATGCTCAAACATGTTTTTTTTGCAGAAAAGTGTTGAAGAGCCCAGAATCCCCAGGCTTTGGGGTTTCGAGTCTCCATGTTTCCCTACATGTTAATTTGGTGATCATTAAGATAAAAAGCAAACAAAATGAAACCTTGCTGTTCAAAATCACAAGTTTCACCATTCTTGCTGCTCGAAACCCTATTGTTCATAGTTTTGCTGGTTACATTCCCAAACTTAGACACCAGGCAAACAAAACAAACTTAAGCTGCTTAAATCTGACTAGTCTATATAATAATGTCCCCATGTGTGGGAAAAGAGATATTGTACTACTATCCAATCCAGTTGTTCACCCAATATTCATGCAACGTTCAATGTTCACCATGTTTGCTGCATAAAATCAATCATTCGTCGCAGTGTCCATTGATTTTCATAGTAAAAAACTACAAAGTGTGAAAATAGGGCATACCGCAACTGTCGAGATGTTTTAGGGTTTCCATAGTCATGGTGGTAGCCCCATAGTCGTTGGTGGTACCCTCACCTCAGGCGGCTCACAGGGCTGTGCCACGCGCGTGCAGAGTGTGACGGAGGGAGCCGACCTAAAGATGACCAGCCAACATGCCAAAAACGATGAGGGAAATAGGCATGTTAAATCTTATATAGCAACATATGTAATATATATATATATGTGTATGTATTGATAAATAAATAAATATATATATGTATGTATGTATTTATATGTATTTATATATATATAAATAAATATGTATATGTATATATGTAAATGTATGTGTATATGTATATATATATATACAATTATATATATAATAAAACTGGTCGCAGAGATTCAACACGACATTCCTATGTCGAACAAGCGGGCGTCTTTTCCTCGACAGCTGAAGATTCCCTGCGGGTCGATTGGCTACGTTCTGTGCTGGAAGGAGCTGGATGCTCACGTGGACATGCTGAAACAACACTGGTAATAATCTATTGTTTTGTAAATTGAAAATCTGCCAGTGAAGACATGGAAAATAGTCGACAAACCATGTCGACGTCATCAACTTTCAGCTCAAAAGGAGATTCATGCATCCTCTTCGATCTTTGCCAGCATGGTTTTCCTCAAGACAAAAATGCCTAAGCTTTGAAACGACGAACTTGCTGTGTGCCCGGAATTGGAACTCCAGAGCTCATATCATCTTGGTAAAAGTGCATCATGTAGTTGCACAAATCACGCAACTGGCCCTGGGCATTCTTGCTGTGCGAACGACACCACTTGATGTAGCTCACGGCACGAGCATCCTCAGAAATCATCAAATCAAAATAGCTCATGTTGGCATTCTTGTAGGTACCGAAACTGATCAATGTGCGACCCCACATCTCAACATCGGAGATGTCCGGTGGCATCTCTGGAAGCATCATCTTCTCCGGCGTAGGCATCTCTCCAGACAATGGAAAGGGCACTTCGATTCCAGAGCCATGGGCAGCATAGGAAGCGGAAGCCATCTCGCCAGAGACACGCATAGGAAAAGGTGCTTGAGCCTTGGGAGTCACCAGCTTCTTGGCCGGATTGTGGAAATCCATCTCCTCACGACGCTTCGAGCCATCAGTGATTGCTCCAACCTTTGGGGACCAATCGGGCTCTTCCCAAATACTGAGAGTGTCACCAGTGGTCGGATTGGTGAACAAACCCGTGTTCGGGTCATACACGGCACGATCTTCAAACTCATCGGACGCTTTCGGAGGTGCTGCCCTTCCTTTGGCCTTCGCCAAAAGGCGCTGCAGCTCCACTGACTCATCAGGCGTGAGAGACATTGCGTTCACTAAAAACCTGGGAAAGACTTGCACTCACAAAAGGACGCGGTTGGGTCCTTAATTAGAAAACAGCTGCACACTGATGTTACTGCACGTACACAACAGGGCGATGAGAACTAATCGAAGCGAAAAGATTGGCAAGGATGATGAACAGGCTCACAGAAAATCTTGGCAGCAATCCACATGGCGAACAAGAAAAAGGGTGAAAAATACAGGCACAAACAAAATGAGTGATTGATTCAGGACATCATCTGGCAGCATTCACCCTATGATCAGTACGGACAAATGGTCTGATCAACCTAGAAAAAGACTTGGTCATGGCAAATCACTCACATACACTCAGGCGAGTGCCAGACAAGAAATTTGCAGGCTACCCTTCGTTTTTGGATTCCGAAAAAGCAGAAACATCCCCTTGTAGAAGTCTGTTACCCCCAGACGTCTGCAACCCTTCTTTGGAATCTAGCTCTCGATTTTTGGCACGTCGAGCACGCTCGGTGGCTTGCTGCGCCAGGACATGGTTTTCAGGAGAAATCTGGTACGACGCAGCTCTGACACAAGACCGAAGCAAATCCGCTGGGTCCATCTTATCCTTTGTTAAACCATCAGCAATCATTCTGTTTGTTGGAAGCCATCTGACCTGGGCAGACAGAAGTCGTAGCGACTCTCGAATAATGACTATGTCAATACTGGTACGCCTATCTTCCACAGCAGTCGGTGATGATGGTGAAATAAGATGGTCGTACAGCGACTTGCAATCAGTTGCCAAAATGGCAGGCCTACGACCTAGCATGGCACGGCAATCACGTGGTGCGAAACTTCCATCAAGGGCTTCCATCAGTAAGAGATTAAGCCACTCAACTGTTCCGGTTGCCGTAGCCAAAGCCTGGCTCTCTCCCCCAAGTGTTGAACTGACTGCTCGTGGCAATTTGTATGATCGCCAAACTGCAGGGGTCCAATGTGAAATGGCGCCAGCATGCATGGATTTGTCAACAAAAGCCAAAATGAAACCAGCTTGGGTATGTGTACCCATGTTCGCAAAAGCTGCATCAGAGTGACAACAAACACACAAATTGTTGGGATCAATAGGCTTGAAATTAATGGTGAGATCTCTATGCATCTTGGCGCGACGGATCGCATTGTTTGCATCTCGCAAATGTCGGATGCGAGGATGCGGGAAAGCCTGCTGACTCATTGAGGTCTGCACTGCTAGATCTGGTCGTGACTGCGACGCAATCCAGTTGAGAGAACCATTAATGGCTCGAAGAACTCGAATTTGGCTCTCGGAGAGCAATTCGTCAGGAGACGCATTCTTCGGGATGGAAGCTGGTCGAAGCTTTTCTGCAAATAGCTTCTGGCTCATGGCTATTTCTTTAGTTTTCTTATCCTGGTGATAAAACGCTCCGCAGAATTCTCCAGAGTTGCATCTCCATTTTCGATAAGGAAAACGAGCACGCAGGGCAGTCACAGCATCATTGAATTTCTTGCCAGCACCTCCTAGGGCAGTGTCATCAACATGAACACCCATCACACCAATGAGTTTTGATTCTTCTCGAAGAAAATACAAACAGGGGTCAAACTTTGAGCGCTCCCAACCAATACGACATGCTTCTTCATCGAAGGTGCGGTGCCATGCCAACAGTGCATCGTTCTGTCCATAAACATTGCCAGTCACTTCTATGATGGCTTCCGGAGGGAGGCCTGGGATGCCACCGGCAGGTTGCTTCGCAAACAATGGTCGAAAACGAGCTGGCAGGGGACCTGCTTCTAAAAATGCCCCTTTGATATCTCCAAGTTGAAGATCCCATCCATGTGATGCAATGAGTTGCATAGTCAACATCCTGCCCATCTGGCTTAAAGTAGGTGACTGCAGCAGGCCATCTTGGACTTTGCGATCTAAATCAGGGTCGAGATGGCCCTGAAGACACCACCTGCTCTTGATGCGGAATGTCGATGAATCACTGTCATCGATGGGTTGGTTCTCTTCCATGGGTTTCTTGGTAATAACGAATCGACTACCAATGAAACGATCGGCATGCTTTTCTGCAAGTTCTTTGGCTCTCCTTCCATAATGGACTTTGACAGCTTGTTTATCCAAAATTGTTTGCCATTCGGCCAACTTTGACTCATCCACCATGGCTTGAACGGTGGAAACGTTGTTACTATGGGGGATCTCTTTATTGGTTTTCTTCTGCAAATAGTTAACCAACATGACTTCTATGGACACTTGTGAATCCTCCCATTGGTGACATAGTTCATTGACCTCTTCAACTGACAGAGCCTCATGCACATTCAGGGCTTCAGCATCATCGATGCGAGCACGTGAGCTGGGTGGTTCAACGGCTGATTCTGGGCTTTCCAAAGGACGCTTTTGAGAATCAGTCTGGGCACCTGCAGGACCAGTGGGATGTTCAAGCAATCGTGGAACCACTTCCTTCATCATTTCGAGAAAATCTTGCTCACGCATTGCTGGAGGCCTGTACAAAGCGGCTGGGCCATTCTTTGATGGTATGCGGCGCATCGGACCATACTGGGACTGAGACTCCTCAGAAGGATCGGCACCATTGGAACTGCTAGATGATTGGTGTGCAACCGACTGGAAACTACTAGGTTCAACTGGCTTCTCGCTCTTCTCATTGGACAGTCCTTCGGGTTGTACATCAGTTGGTGGAGACTCAGGCTCCATTGGGACATCAGATTCTGCTGCTGATGCCTTGGCAACTTCATTTCCTGAAGGTGCTGGAACAGGTACTGATGAGTCACGTGGTTGGCTACGATCGTCAGGACCAGGAGCCATTGGAGGATAGTGAGCTGGCACCAGATCTATGTACTGATGACTGCGGAACGTTCCACCCTCCAAGAGATCCTTCACTCCTAACAACTCGGCCTGAGGGGTTTCAAGGAGAGCCTTTTCCTCAGTTGTGGCTGGTCTGAGTTGTTCTGGGGCCACTCGGAAGATTTGCCTCCTATGTGCTACAACATAGTTCTTACCCACACTACCAATGACTACGGCAGTTCCATACCAACGTCCCCCTAACCACACTTGACCTTGTTGATACTTTTGGGCACGCCAATAGGCCACGAGATCTCCTGGTTGGAACTGCTGCTGCTGTCGGGGACGAGCTGAAAAGGCACGTCTCAGAGCCGCATCATCTTGCGTCTCGATCACTGCCCGGCGGGCTGCTGATCTGATGGCCTGAGACTTTGCTACTGCTTCGTCACTCAAACCAAGGGTGGCAGGAACAACATGCAAAGGTTCACTCATGAGATCACTAGGAACATCAGGATTGCGGCCAAAAACATACTGATGAGGAGTGTAACCATATGACTGTATCATGGTATTCTTGACATGAGCATGAGTGACACAATTCTCCCATTCAGCGCGAGAGCTGGGTGCAAATTCAGCCATGGTACGGTCAAGCACGCGGGAAAACCACCCGCCATGATTCTCGGTTCTGCCAAGCTGCCAATGTGCTTCACCTGCAATTTGATGCACGTGAGTGCCAAGACCTTCGAGATACCCTTGTAAACCCTCACCTAGATTAGTTTGAGCTTGATCCAGAATCACTTCTTTGGGGGGACCAAACACTTTTACCCAATGATCGGCGAAGGCACTTCGAATGACTTCGGAGGTTTCACGTTCATGAAATGGCACCATGATTTGATAGCAACTGGCTTGATCAACAATGTTGACAGCTTTAATTTTTTGATTGGGAAGCCATCCATTCAAGTTCTTGACATCAATTCCTACTGACTGATTGAACTCACGAGGACGTGATGACTTGGCAGGCAGAGGCACATGTGGCTTGATCTGTGATTGACAGAAACTGCACTTGTGCTGGTGCACCAGTTTCAAAGCACGGTCGGAAGCCTGAGCATGCTTGAAAATACGAACCATGTCATGTGTTGGAGGATGACCTAGATTTCGGTGCACCTTGTCAATGATCTTGAGGAGATCAGCATCGGATCTTTCGCTGGACATGTCAGGCTTTGCAGCTAAAACTTCGTTCAGCTGATTTGCAGACCATTCTGGGCACACGGCGAGGCACTCTAGTTTCATCTGAGCAAAACGGGGCACGGTGTCCATGACTGCCTCTACAAACTGTGGTGTGTACTTTCCGGCAAACGTACTGATCTGACCGACTTCTGGATCAGATCCGGCAATCACCTGATGGCATGAGTGCTTTGGGTGTTGAGGACCAGGGCATTCACGAGCAAGTGTTTTCATGTCTTCATGGGTGACCAGCAAATTTGTGGCTTTGCGGATTAACTGCTTGCTCTTTGGTATGTGCAAACCATATCGACACATGTGGCACGTCAGCAGGTGATGCTCTTCAATCAGCGCGCGGATTTCGGCATACGACCACAACTTGGATCCTTTCGGATGCTCCATGAGGGCTCTACCTCCTAGCTTGACCTGTTGTTCAAACAATTGACTGCAAAAACGGATGAACAACCGACTTTGTCGCACTTTGCGAGCGTACTCGTGAGGATCCATGGTGCACGCGTTCAAATTGAACCAGCCTCCCTCATGTGTGCATGGTGGGCTGAGCACGAGCAAATCGGGAGGATTCTCACGCAGCTCTTGAGCTACTTGATCCCTTACAGCAGGTTTGGAGAAGTCATAGCCCGTAGACAAGTCATACGACCGGCAAACACCCTTGACACCTTCTACCAGTGGTGCAAAACGTGGTGGACAAAACACCTCTGCGACCAAAAAGGGTTTACCATCTATCTTGGACTTAGCTTTAGGCACCGGCTGACGGATCTGGGCATTCAATTGACGCTGGCAGTGAACGGGCATACACTCAAAAGTGGACGTCTTCTCCTGAGGAACGAACTGAAACTCAGTGGTCACATGCAACACTTCCTTAGGAATTGTGTGATGATACCTACTTTTCTTATGATGTGGAGATATCCATTCATCAAAAAGGACTTCATGAGTTTCACTGTTCAGGACCCTCCTACGTCTAACTGATTGCCAAGCTGGACCTTGCTTACCTGTGGTAACTGTATGGTTCAAAAAGGAATCAGTTCTTGTCCATGTTTGCAAGTCAGAGTCCGGTCCTGCACTCATGTCGGCAGACAACTGTGCTGGGCTGGATGGCTCTGACGGCTTCGAAGGCTCAGTGGTGGCGTTCATCAAAACTTCCTGAGACGGCTGCTTCAAATCGCCTACCTGGTCGAGCAAATTGATGGCATACTGGCCGGCTGCATTGATGGTCAAAGGAACCGTGATCTGATCTGAGAACAGTGACAGCTCATTTCGACCAAAATTCACAACAGCTTCCAACAATTGCAGTGCATTTCTTGAAATCAACAGTGGGGCGGATCCTTTCACGATGGCTGCTTTGATGCTACCGGATCTGCCTGCAATCACAACTGGAAGCTTCACTGATGAATCTGTGGTTTCACGCTGTCCATTTCCAAACTTGAAATGATTCACCTCAGAAAAGGGGGCAGGGACTGGAATGCCCTTAGCACGCCAGAGCTGTTCAAATTCTTTCAAAGTCTCCTGACCTACAATCGTTCGACCACAGCCAGAATCGATCACCCCAAAACCAGGGGAGCTCACCAGCAAAACTTCGGACAAGGGTGTCGAATGCGAAGGTGATGAGGGCGATGACATCATGGCACGAGCAGCTCGTTTCTGTCGCAGAACTGACAAAGTGTCATACTTCTGAAACCCATCATCCAGTGACACTGCTGCCACAAAATGCTCAGTGAAGTGTTCCACAACCGCTGCACCAGTATCACTAGACTTGACAGTGCTGCTACCACCTGAACCCTTTGATTTCCCTTTTCCGCCAGATCGGCACTCACGTGACCAGTGGCCGATTTGTTGGCACTTATGACATCGAGTTTTCTTCTTCAGCTCCTCGATCTCAACTCTGTAGGATTTGCGCAGGTCAGTGGAAGGCCCAAATTTTCGACTGCGCTGCAGTCTACCCAGTTCTTTTCTCTTCTCTTTCCAAGTGACAGCAAGGGCTTCGGCGACTTCACTTTCTTCGAAAACTTCATCAGGCTCATCACGTGCTTGCTCATCATGGTCAGCAAGCAAAGCCTCCACCTCCTGGATCACTGACTCTGATTCTTCATCTACAGCGACTGCATCATCAGTGGCCTCAATCAGACCGGCGCCAAAGCTGCGTTTCTTTGGCACAATGTAATCTGGATAACATGACCTCATAGAGCGTCCAATCTCGTCCTGCTTGAGCACGCCTCCACTCCGAGCTAACACAACAGCCTTCTGTTCCTCGTTGAGGCCCGAACGGTTGAGAATCAACCATCCTCGAGCTTCTTCTGGAAAGCTCACCTTGCACTTTCTCTGACAACGATCAAACAGTTCACCAGCTCTTGAAATCCATACCTTCAGTGTTTCACCCTCATTTGCACGCAAACCAAAAACTGCAGTAAGAGTTTCAGACATTTCGTCTGATGTGTCCTTCTGAGGGAAACGACGATCAAGAAGGCCAAGGATAACTTTTTCTCCACCGGCTATCTGATATTCGCTGGGCTCCAGATATTCAATGCAATCTAAGGCTTTGCCTCCAAGCAGTGTGTATATGTAAGCTCCACGTGCACTCTCAGGTACCTTTGACTCTAAAGTCATCAGTTTGTTCATGACCCATGTTTTCCAACGTTTGTACTCTTGTGCATCTTCGGTGTCTCCTGTAAACACCTTTCCAGCAGTCGCCTCGACTGACGAAGAGCTCGCCATGGCTCACGTGGACAAAATCTCCCAGATGTCCTAACCTGGGGGAGCTACCTTTGGTAGCTCCGCTACCAGTAATAAAACTGGTCGCAGAGATTCAACACGACATTCCTATGTCGAACAAGCGGGCGTCTTTTCCTCGACAGCTGAAGATTCCCTGCGGGGTCGATTGGCTACGTTCTGTGCTGGAAGGAGCTGGATGCTCACGTGGACATGCTGAAACAACATATATATATATATTGAGCTGGTTAGCACATTTTGTCATAGCAAAAGATCAAACTACTCAAGTACCTATCCCAAGGTTGTCCCAGTAGGATGAAACTAATCAACATTGGGGTCTACATACTATGGTTCTATCAATTAAGATCCTGGACTGGGTCTTGTGAACGACAGTGCAGGTTTCATGAAGGAAATTGATGTTCTGTATGTTTCTGACATTTTATAGTCAGCAAATTTATGTTTATTGAGTTTGACATGCGGGTTAAAGCATTCTGGAAGCCAAACCAACTAAAACGATGAATACGGTAGCAATTTCTTGGATTCCACATATTCCAGGAATAGAACATGGTTTACACACCAATTGACTTCGGGATTAACTATTGGTTTAGCCACTCCTGGCTGGTCACATCAGGCCTTCACCTGGGATGAATCACCAGCTTAGAGGTGAAAACAAATGGTTTACATCAATAATTGTTGATTAAATCCCAAGTTTTGTTGCTAATAATATGGCTGGTTGGTGGTATACCTACCGCCCTGAAAAATGATGGAGTGCGTCAGTTGGGATGATTATTCTTGATATATGGAAAATTAAAAATCATGTTCCAAACCACCAACCAGTTTTGAACAAAAGATAAATAAATCTCAACCAAATAATTGTTGTTATTACAGTATATAAATCCATAAATCCCAAGTTTTGTTCACCAATGGTGAAATACAATTATTATAAGTTACCATTATTTAAATCCCATAATTATATATATATATATATATGTGTGTATATAATTATAAATACCATTATAATGTACCATTATATAAACCATTATTATACATGGTAAAATCCCCATGGTGAGATCCCCACGTTTGATCCCGCTGGGGCCCCCACGTCATGCCCTCCACTGTGCAGGAGACCCAGCGAAGCTGAGTCAAGCCCCACCAGGCGAAGTCCTACCAGGGTAGCCATGGTGATGACTTGGGGATGGTTACGGATGGTTCATGAAATTGGGTGAATCCCACATTATATACATATATATATATATATATCTACCAGAAACTGCTTCATAACTAATTTATAACCATTATAACCCCCAATAATCAATAATTGATATAATAACTGGTTTTATTAACCCCCACTAAGTATATAGTTACATCAAACCATTGTGTTATATTATGATCATGTTTTTTTGATCGGTAAATCACAATGATGGCCCTGTAGGGAACCGGGGCACCTCTACGGGGCACCAGCCAGGCTGGTGAATCCTAACGTGCGACGGGGCACGTGTCACTCTTCATGGTGCCTTGACTTGCCCCGGGCTTCTGACTTTCGGTCACTGCTACTAAACACGAAAGGAACATGTTAGAACATGTTTCACTCACAATCCGAAAGCTCACTGACCCAAGTTTTTGGCACTGCAGCCCACGAATGTAAATCCATCAAGGTGCACAGCTCCCTTCAGGCCACGAAAGGGCCAGCTGTCAACCTGGAACGTGAACTCCCGGCATGCAGCATGCTAATACAATAGCCAAGTGATGAAAACATATGCCCAATATGCCCCAATATAGAATTGACATGTTTGAGAATGAAAACATACTTCAATCAAAAATTCCCGTCTGTACTGACCCTTGGAGTCCAATCCTAGAAAATTATCACCATAAATCTGCGGGTTATAATATGTTCACTTCTTTCCTTGGTCCTTAACCTTTCCGCAGAAATTCCAGCTGACCGATGCAATTTACAAAAATCCAACTACGTTTCTGGGTCATGACGTCCAAGATACGCTATCTGATTCACCTCACAAACAAAAAAAAATATTTTTTATTTCCCAGACTACTCTCGTCTCAATAGAAAAGATCAAACCCTGGGTACCTCCTGGTGTTTGACATTTGAAGGCTTACTCTCTGGCCTTTGTTTTGGGTTTCAAAAAGGTCCCCTTTTGGGGAAAAAAACTACCAATGAGGGTGAATCTCAGCAATCTACTAGCAAGCCGGATCACTGAAATGGGGCGAGTTGCTTAAAAATGCATAGGAAAACCAAAGGAAAATGGAGGTTTTAATGGGAACACCATAGGAAAACCATAGGAAAAATTAGGAAAATGGAGTTTTACATGGAACATGGAGGTTTACCCTCTGGTAAACGTTTACATAACGAACTGGACAGATCCACCATTTTTGATGGGAAAACTCACTATTTCTATGGCCATGTTCAATAGCAAACTGTTAGTTTACCAGAGGGTAGATGTTCCCTCTAAGTCGAAAGGATTGGCATCTCCAAGTGAACATTTTCAAGGTGTGTAAACCACCACAGCCAGTTGGCCGCTCAGCTCCTTCCTCCTCACTCCAGCTATTGGATGGGAATTAAAGCAAGGTTTAAAGCCACCAATCAGCGATTTGAATCCACATCTAGTTGGCTTTGTCTCAAACTTTGGACCTGTATTCCCTGGTTAAAAAACTCAGAACTCAGGTTCCAAACAATCAATCAAACAACATCCACTGAATCCATTGATAGCAACCCACGAAAAAAAAAACACCCATATAATCAGGTCAAATCCTACAATGTAATCGTAAAAATAGAAAAGGTAAAATCATACTAAAAAATCCTACTTCAAAGTAAAAACATAATTCATTTTATGTTTGCCTCTTCCATTTTGACTGCTTTATATCGTTCTTAGCTGTCGTCATGAAAATCCCTTAAAATCCCACCAAACTATCCACAGTTTTATCTTTCTTAGTATGAAAATCCATAAAAATCTTCAAATACCCACAGTCATCACGGTCATCCATTATGGTCAAGGCTTCCAGTAACTGCGCCATATAAATCCATCATCCATATTAATCACTATTAACCCATCTCCGTCTTAGTCCATTATAACTCACAAACTTAAGAATGCATCCCAGATCGTAAGGTATTAGTTTGTAGGGGTTTGCCCTTCATGACTTTCAGAAATGCCTACCTGATCTCAGAAATGCCTAGGTGATTTGAAAATGACATAGGCATTTCTGAAATTTAGGTAGGCCAATCTGAAATTTGGTAGACTAATTTGTTGTCCAGAACGTTGTGCAAACAAATGTGGTTTCATATTTTTTACAAAATATTTAAAAAAGACAAAATATTTTCAAAAAGATAAAATCTAAAATATGGTAAAACGTTGATTGAACGTTTACCTGCTCACGATGCTAACACGTTGTGATTACGTTGGCCAGCTCAGTGTGCAGCTGAGTCATTTGTGTCAATTGTATGAACTGATGAGAGAAACTGGGCATGGATTTGACCTGTTTAGCATGGAAATTATGATTGCATGAACCACGTATGGTCCATCCATTTTCCATTTTTATCACCAAAATGGAATCACACCTTAACTTCGAGGCCTTAACTTCGAGCCTCAGGGTTGTCAATTTTGTCCTTGTTTGTTATTTGTTTGTCATGTGCTGTCATTGTTGTCATTTTTGTGATCTTTTGTTGTCTTAAAACAATGAATATCGATGTTGCTCCCAGAACATAAATGTCCCTCGTCAAAACACATAGATCTTGTTTAAATTAATATAATATTACTTATTAGGTTTGCATTTTCAAGCTTGCCTAGAAGTCAGGTATGCAAAATGTAGCGGTTATTTCCAGTACGAGTGTCGTGTAAAAGTGTCCCAGAAGAGTGTCACAAAATCATAGCGGGAGCGCCGCTCATTTATGGACACAGCCTGCCACT